TTTGATTCCTTGATTTTCTCTTACTGAGTTAGTTATTTGTGTTAGTCAGTTCTATGATAACTTACTGATATTATTGTTAAAATTATTATTTCTGACTGTTTTCCTCTTGTCTCATGACTAGATTTTCCACATAAATATATTTATATTTGTAAACAATAATCTCAGTTTCATTGTGAAATCTCACTTTTTATGTATTATACTTTCTGGATTCTTTACTCAATTTCAAAACTTTATATCCAATACATTAAATAAAGTTTCACAAACCTTCATTATTAATGATCATATATTTTATAAAATACCAACGGATCAATGAAAAGCTTCAAAACAGAACTTAAAAAATTCATTTTATTCTGTAAATCTTATAGTTTTTATTGTTTTTACCACATACTTTCAGTATAAGATCTTTAAATTCTAATTCACTGTCTTCAGAAATAATACAGAGTGGTACAATATATTATTAAAGGTATTATATGTTTAAAAGTTATTTAAATGTTTCCATAATTACCGCAGTTTGTTCAGCATTATAAGAAAATATATGTATGTGTATATGTATTTTGTTATACACGTGGACTTCGCAGATGACCGAGCCCTCCTATCGCATACACATGAACAAATGCAAATAAAGACAGCCAGTGTAGCAGCAGTCTCTGCATCAATAGGCCTCAACATACACAAAGGGAAAACCAAGGTCCTCAAATTCAATACGGAGAACAGCAATCTAATCACTCTTGATGGCGAAACTCTGGAAGATGTAAAATTCTTCACATACCTTGGAAGCATCATCGATGAACAAGGAGGTTCAGGTGCAGACGTAAAGACGAGGATCAGCAAAGGAAGGGTCGCATTCCTACAGTTGAAGAATATATGGAACTCAAAACAACTTTCAACAAATATCAACGTCAGAATCTTCAATACCAACGTCAAGGCACTTTTGCTGTACGGAGCTGAAACTTGGAGAAATACAACAACCGCCATCAAGAAGATACACGTATTTATAAATAGCTGTCTTCGTAAGATGCTCAACATCCATTGGCCGGATACCATCAGCAACATCCTTTTGTGGGAGAAAACAAACCAGCTTTCATCTGAAGAGGAAATTAGGAGAAGACTCTGGAAATGGATAGGACATACATTACGCAAATCATCAAACTGCATCACTAGGCAAGCCCTAACATAGAATGCTGAAGGGAATCGGAAATGAGGAAGGCCAAAGAACACATGACATCGGGAAATGAAAGCAGATATGGAAAGGAAGAATAACAACTGGAAGGAGCTGGAAAGGATTGTTTTGGACAGGGTTGGATGGCGAATACTGGTGAGCGGCCTATGCTCGTTCATGAGGAGTAACAGGTGTAAGTAAGTAAGTATACACGTGGAAAATCAAGAATATATTCATCATTCCATAAGTAACCTATTTTGACACTATTTATTTAAAGCTGAGCATCTTATACATCCTACACAAGATAAACAATATAGGCATTAAATATCATAATTAAGCTATATTAAATACATTACAAATTGAACTTTGTAATTGTAAACTGAAAATGTAGTATCAGTTTGTCAATAATATAATGTAGTTTGAACGTGGTAACACTGAAATGGAATAAAATTTCCAAGTGTTCAAGTCCAATACATTTTGTACTCAAAACTATATTATCGTTTTTCTATTGTATTTTTATTTATTACAAGTGTATATTCGAATTTTTTTGCAGACCACATTATTTTTACTTACATGTAAGTGTTTACATCTCCCCACTGTTGATGTTAAGAAGTGACTTTTAACCTGTCTTTGATAGTATACATGCATGCCTCAATATTTTCATGAATTCACTAGTATTTGAGTTAGGATTGATGATGGCTATCAGTGGATATCACAACAAATCTTACATCTTATGCGGAACTCATTAGTTATATGTACAAGGCATTCCAGTGTTAACGTTCACCGAGAGATTTGAAGCGAAAGGCACTAGGTTCGAGTCTCGGGGTGAACATCGACAGTGGAGTACTGATACATTCAGATAAAATATCTGGAACAGAACAAAACACTAGTTCATAATTCTACTATTAGCCGCTACTTATCTTTACTTAAATCATATTATTGTTTCAATACATTTGGTCATATTTACTTTATATTAAATTACTTTATCAGTCAGATTGGTACATAATAAAGTTTTGACAAAGTTTGATACTTAGAAACTATGTAAAGGTCAAATGATGATTGTTTAGTACTGTGAAAATATTAATTTAGCGTTTTAAATGTGGTAAAAAATCAAATTCCTTTTAATATTACTCATTAAAAAATTTCCTACGTGATGCAATGTCAAATATAAATGTGCTTCAAATGTTTTTTTCTAACATTGACGTTAGTGATACTATGTGAACAACATACATGAGAAAGGTCATATTAAAGGTTATGTAAATTATTTATTAAATTAAATTAAAGAGGATAGAGATCTACATTCTTTTTAACAGTATTATATCAATATTATTGTTATTATCAATATTAATATTGGACTGACATCAACCGATCGGCGATAAAAACCATAAGCCATACTCATTATTAGTAAGAGTTTAAACATCTAGTTGTCGATATTTGACAATAAAGCTTAACCGGCCTTTATCTGGATGCGAGTATCCTGTGACGACCACCTCCGTGTATTCATTTTCGTACAAGTCATATAGAATAGATAGATTTGTTTTGTTCTACTTTGTGAAACCACATACCTAAGTACTTATATTTCCCTTTTTAGTTTCACTGTCTATTGGATCCTATTACTTGAAATTCAAGATTATCGTCTCATTGTGTAAATTATTTTGTAATGTGTCAGTTTTACCTTGAATTGTCATAAATTGGTTTTTACTTTAAATTTATATATAGCTCAACAGTAACGAAATATCAATAAATGTTCATCTGTGTATTTGTCTAAAGATTGACAAATACATACTATCCACTTACGCCTCGTGGAATAAATATTAACCAAACAAAATTAGCCGATCTCTAAAGTGTGCAAATCAAGTTGACATCATAAAGAGAAGTATTGACAACGATGGGGCATTGAATATGTTAGTCATTAACCTCATAGATGATTACCATGCATAAATCTGAAAAAGTACTATAATAAATAGATTCATTATCATTCATTTTCGTCATAAATAGCTAAAATACATTACTTCAATGGTCTGTGAAAATTTAATATTCATAAAACACTCCGTAAGTTAAATTATCTATATAGGAATAACAGCTCACTACTTTTAAAGTCAAGGACTTCAACTCCTTACACTCGATATTGCCATTAAATCACAAGCATTTTAGAGAGGAATTAGATAATTGCTAATTTTCTAATTTAAGACTCGTCCACGCGTAGTAGGCCCATTCAACTATCGTATCATTTATCTGCTCACTGTAATTTAGACACTCGATCCTCCATGTAATTTTCTTTGTGAGTCTGATTGAGCACATGTCAATTTTTAATCTATTCTCCCATTGGTTGTAATGCACAGACAATCAATGATTTATCCATACTTGATTAACACTCAAATATATATATATATGGATTTTAACACTCACCAACACACGCACACTCTTGGTTTCACTGTGTGCATGCTTCGTGTACGCTTGCGGATTTTACCAATCTTTAACAATAAACTATCTCTATAACTGATGTTCGGGCTTTTGAATAATTTCGATTAAATCCATAATTCTACTAGGAGATTTAGCCAGCGTTAAATACTCAGTTAACGGGATACTACTTATTGGAGTCAGATATAGAGGATACAAGCCTCTACATATGCTTCACAAGCTAGTGGCTCTTTAAACTCAGCAATTAAAACAACAAAATGTTGAAGTTTTTAGGCAAAAAGCATTGGGTTTGAATCTCTGCGTAAAACTTAACACGACTGTTTAGGTACGTCCAGTTGACAAATCATAAATAAAATGAAATGCTCATTTTGAATTTCACAATTAATTACTATCCAATGTAACTTTAAAGTGTAATTCTTTACAGTTTATATTTCAATTACAAGTCTAATATAAGTTGAAACAAGATAAAGTATTTTCATGATAAAGTCTATTCATAACACCTGTTTCCCTTTGAATCAAATTGTTAGTAAGATGATATAAATGATTTCTATCAGTTACAGTATTCATGAAGTCATGTTTATCTCATTATCAATATATGTGTATAACAACACAATACATTTATGATAATGTAATCTCTCTTAGAATACGAAACAGAATGAAACCTTCACTTTATAAGATGTTTATATGATAGAAGTTTTTTTTTTGTTGTTCAGATCGGATATTTTCTATTTCTCACATAATTTCATTGATTACGTTTTTATTGGTTAAGAGTTTGCACTCTATCTATCTATTCAATTAAATGGACTTTTTTAAAGTTTTACTCTACGGTGGTTGCAAATAAAAATAAAGTACACAGAACATATTGATTTTACTTCAGTAATAAATAAAAAAGAAGCAAAATTGAGAAATTTGTATAAAAATTCACCATTTTCGATGTTCAAAACTCAGTGTTGTAATTTGATTCATTATCTGAATCAGTACTTAATAGATTTGTTTCTATTGGTTATTTATACTTTGATAACACAAAGTGTAATGTGTAGTCGTTTTTTTTTCTGTTGTTGTTGGTGTTTGTTTCACTGAAAACAACCAATTGTCTTATTTCATCTGTCCTGATTCGTTCTCAATAATCTAATGTTAGTATAGTATATAATTAGCTATTCATTGAAAATAAAAATATGGTCACAGCTGATGTATCATCTATAGAAAGTTATTGAATAAATAGAAAATTCAAACTAAACAATTCTTCACCGATAAACCTCGTCTGCTTCAAATAAAGATTCATGTTTTAAACGAAACTACAGTGATAAAATATCACCAAAGTGTGTTCTCTCTTCATTCTCTCTATCTTTTGATAGGTTTTTGCATCAATATTTCTGTTGTACAAAATTAATTTGATTTAACGCATAATTTATTTTATGGAATGCCGTCTACAAATAAAATTAAATCATGCGGACGTCGTAAACGACTACGTTATTTTGAATCCACTACAGATTTAATAGCACGGAAATTAATCACTTATGGTGAAGAATTCAATCATAATCAAGTACATACATTGTTATTATCACTTAAATCGCGTAAATCAATAGCACATTGTAAACTACGCTGTGAACCAGATGGGATACGATTAAAACGTGCTTCAAAATTTGGTGCACCACCTCCAAGAAAATTTTATCCATATAAAGATATTGAACGATATTATGTATTTGATAATGATCCTACAATACTTATATTAGGTTGTGTTGATCATGAACAACATAGTCGTTATTATGATTTTTTTAAATTACCTGAATCCCATTATAAAGATATTACTACACTTATTAATAAAGCTAGAAGTCATTCTGATTATATATTGAATGAAGATGATACAACTTTACCAACACCAGGTGTATATTCATCACATTCTAGTTTGAATGTATCTAATGAACAACTTTCACAAAATAATATTTCTATGCAAGAAACTATAAATTTAAATCAGAATAATGAAGTACCTATTGATAATTTACAACAAACAAATAATGATAATATAACTAATGCTAGTGTTAATAATTTACAAATAAATGATAATTATTCATTAGAGGAGATTCAACAAAATATAGATGATACCTTACAAAAACAATCTATTGATAAAGATGATGTGATTATACATGATCATGATGAAAATCATCAAAATTTAGATGAACCTAAAATGATTAAATGTGAATTTGAACCAGTTGATGAATCAATAGAAAATATGGAAATAATGGATTATACAAAAATATCATCAACATCAACACAACCTAATAATCAGCAAGTGATTCAACACAATAATGATAATAATGATGAGGATGATGAGGATGATGATGATAATGATAAAAATAGTTTAAAAATCAAATTTAATGAATTAAAAGAAAAAGATGAAACATTTGCAAAATTAACTGAAAATATTAATGTTAATGATTTATCAGCTGTAGATTTTCGTTATGTTTCAACAAATCCTGATCAAGGTAATCGTATTGTTGATAATGGTGATATTTATATATTTATTGCACATTATAAAAGACCAGAAAATTTTAGGAATTTTATTGATTATAATAATTATATTGATGAAATTGATACGGAACAACAAATAACTAATAAAATTTATAAGAAACATCATAGTACAGCAGATAAATCATTTTCTTTACGTTACATTTAAAAGAAGTGCTTTTTTTATTTATTTGGATGAGAAACAACGAAAAAAAGAAGAAAAAGAAAAAGAAGAAAGAGTCGTGAATTTATCACTAAAAAAAGAAAAAGAAAAAAAAAGAAAAAAACAATTATTTTTGTCTTTCACATATCGATTTTAATCATTATAACGCTTGTAGTAATAAGAACATGTAAGTTTTGCTTTTCTTTCTTTCTTTTTCTTGTTTTTGTTACGTAAATTTGAAAAAAAATTATAAAAATTTATTTTCAACTTATTTTACTCATCATATGAAATGAAAAGTTAACTAAGCGATTACAATAAAGATATGCCCATGTTCTTTACTTTTCATTGATATGAAACAATTTGCTTTGCCAGATATAGTATGCATATATATATAAACTATTAAAACAATGGAATCAAATGTAATCAAATAGTTTAAACAATTATTTAGTAAATCTATTCAAACATAACTCTCTCTATATATGTGTATAAATGAATTATTACATCATTTAATTGATTGCATTCATTGTATGTGTTACTACTTTGTTTAAACAAATTAGCTGATGTCATTATATTAGCTTATTATTATTAATATTACCATTGTTTCTTCTTTTATTTTAATTATATACTGATAATCATAATCATAATAGTTGTCATTAACTATGATCAAGAATTTTAAATTAACTTTAGTACTATTTATTTTGATAATTTGAAGTAACTATCAATGATAATTAAATGTTAGAACGATACATTAAATAACAATTCATATATATATATATATATATATATATATATATATATATATATATATATATATATATATATATATATATATGTATAAGTATAGCCTAGAATTATGAAGTACTAATCGAAACTTGTGAAAGATCATAAGTTATATAAATTTATATAATATACACAACAACTAAATTGATCATTATAATGCTTATTGTCAACAGTTGAAAATGAAAAAAACGTATTCTGGTGCCTAGTGATTAACTTATTATCTGGATTTTTTTCATTTGCCCCCCCCCTCCTTTCTATATATATATATATACTAAAAAAATTTATTTATTTATTCATTATAGCGCTGTTCTATTATTGAAACGTTTTCAATATGTTTACATTGTTTGTTATATGAATATTGAGGTATTCACTAAAAGACAATAAATTGAAATACAATTTATTCCAAGGATATTTTAAAGAAGTTTCAGTGAAAGAAAGTGTTACATTCAAGTTGTGTTTTATTTTTTTTAGATTTACAAAACAGACTGAATATTAAAATCTAGTAAAACTATAAGATTAATAAATCAAAGAAGTATTTTTTCTCAAGTCAAAACATCTATTTATAATGTATGTATATCTATATAATGAAATTATAAGTTGATACACTAAATAGGGCTTTCGTGACATCATCCATTTGAAGATGATCGATCATGGAAAACAGTCTGTCGATTGATTTTAACAGAAATACATTTAAACAATAATGAAACTTCTTTTTCAAGGATTTTATTGTTTTATTAACATTTTCATTTTAATTGGCTTAATCCAACTAAATTGAATGTTCTCTAGAGTTTTCTGTAGAAAGATACGAATAGTGCAGAAATTACAATTGAATAGTGTACTTAAAAAGTATTGAATATGTACTTTGTTAGCTATTTTCCAAACTGGGCAACAACAACAAAAAATGATGAAACAAGGATTTTCCTATTCACTTTCACTTTATTTAATTTGGTCATTCACCGAATTGTTAGTGGTAAAAAATATAATAACTACATATAAGTTAGTGCCGTCTCATTAACGAAATACTTAATTGACTTAGTACTTGGTTTTGGTAACCGTGAAATGTATGACACAAATAAAAACAAGAAGACTTTGAATCAAGATTTATTTTATCTCCAAAATAAGTCAAAACTATACATGACTTCATTAATTTCTATGTGATTTATCTACAGTCAGTTTTTTATAAACTAAACTGTGTAGTATTTAAAACCATCAAACCAATAACTTACGGGATAAACACTTACAATATCATAAAAGAAAGCGTCTATAACCAATATATATAACGAATTGACTAAGTTATGTAATAAATCCTACTTAGGAATTGATTATACGTCACAGACAATTGGGAAAGTCCAGTTTTCATGTTACTCATACTACAATCAGTTGAATAGTTGTTCACCATATGAGATACTATTAAAACTATTACAGTTTTAACTTCAAAATATAAATTCACTTGTATAACTGAAAAAAAGATTTGTGATTATTTCTGAGTAGTTATTCTCTTCTCCATTGACCATGTGTTTTTGTAACTAGAAAAGTATAACTGGCAGAGATGGAAAATGTTATTTACTTTTTATAAACTATCTCTGCTTTTTTAAAAATAAAGTATATCAATATACTGACCATATTGAGAGTAAGCTAACTAACACTAATATTTCATGATGATAGAGCTTTACCACAAGTTCACTTAACTTGAGCCGGTTGGATAATGGATTTCGAATTATTGATTTGATAATTTCGAAAACAACTAAGGATTTGAAGTTTCTTCAAAGTCGATATAAGTACATTCCTAAAGATCCACAATTCAAAACGAAAACACTGTCTATTACCTCGGTTTAGTAGCCGAGGTTAGTCTATGACTAAAGCTATCGTCTTATACAAAATGTCATGTAAAATTATGTTTACTGTGTAACAATATAGTTCAAAAAACTAATATATTAACTGTCAATTGTTCTCGATTAAAGTGCTTACTAAATAAAATCCTTACCTAACATGTTCAAACAAGCAATTCGGAGAACTAAGTGTGGTAAGAAAAATAACCTCCAATCTTTCAATACACAACCCCCTTAATTGATAACTATTCTATTATGTCAAACATTCTTCACTAACGTAAAATATTGCTTTTTTATTTAATAAATGACTTTGTTAGTTATATGTTATAAGGAATCATACCTCAGGTTTGTATTGTTTGATTTACGCATAGTAACAATGGGTTGTAAGGACTAAAGTTCGGAATCCGTGTTGTTTGCATTTACTGATGTGCCTGTAGCTCATTGAAAAGGCCGAAAAATGAGTTAATAATGGTAGACATAATGCAAGCTTTTACTTCAGCGTTTCACGAAAATCATCATGATTTGTGTATATTTTACTCGAAAAGAAATTGTCTCTGAGAAGTTAGCAAACTTTTAAATTTCAAAATATACCTGTAATTTAGCATAATTTGAATGAATCTCGATCCCAATCTAATATAAAATATGTGAATGATGATTAAAGCTATTGTTATCTCAGATAATCAGTAAGTTACTGAATTACACTTCTCACTTTTTAATTAGATTTACATCATGCTCCTTACACATCTAAATTCACCTTCCAGATATTACACCAAAGCTAAATTAATTATTAGATCAACTGGATACTGTTAGTAGAATATAGAATGGATAAAAGCACGTTGCCGTCCTAATAATTGAGAATATAGTTTAAACAAGTACGTGTATTCAGTAAATCCCCACCAGTCTATATAGTTTTAATCGGAAGTATTTGTCAGTATAAACGACGGAAGGTAAAAGATTTGAACAAATGTTCTTTGCTTGAGTATACTGGATAGGAAATTTCGGATTGCTATACGAAGTTATGCTAAATAACAAAACATAACATAAACATTGAAAGTTTTACCAGCATTCTGTACATAATGGTGAGTATTGGTCTGAGTCAACTTTCAATATACGTAATTAATCTTCTCTCAAAAGTATGAGAAAGCAAATGTTGTGCTTGTGTAACACTCTATATGTGAACAGTTAAGTATGAAACGAAATGGCAAAATCCAATAGCTTATAATCAGTAGTATATGTGATACAATTCCAAATAGTCTCTCGTTTATAATCTTTTCTAAATTGATTTCTAAACACTTCCTCGATCTAATGTTTACAGGTTATACCTCACGTAGGATTATAAGCATGCACTACTGTAAGGTCATAAACATAAATCAAACAGCAATCTGATCACTTCCATTCCTGAATGTTTCTTCAGGTAAAGTCATTTTGAGGTAATAAAGTAATTAGAACCACAATGTTCGTATTATCCCACGAAATACTTCATTAGATAATAAATTCCCTGTCTCTTAATGAATCACGGACCTCTGAAGTTCTTTTGTTGGCTGATCAAAAAAGAATCTTGTAAACTGACCTCAAGAAATCTCTCCACGATCAGTCAACTTTTACTGCTGGATGAATGTAACATTTGGATCACTAGTAAGTTTGAGTTTTATAAATAAATTGTAAATAATGCATTGATAATCAAGAGTTAGACTTTATTGATAAGATAATGTCATTTTTATCATTGTTTTACCTACATCTAATTTGAAGATCCATCGAATTTAAGTTATTTCATAATAATCTAAAATCCTGTTTTCGTAAAAGGTTCACTAGTAACTTCTTGATGGGGTTTTCAGACCCCAGTACGAAAACATGACGAGTAATTCCTGATTAGAGTTTCAGTGCTAAGACAAAAGAGTATCTTTGTTTACCAGTCTCAAATGACTTCTCAGTTTATAACTAGTAAAACCTAGAAATTATATCTTCATTCAAAAAATCATGCATTCATCTAACACTATATTTCTTTCCAATAAACGGGACTAGTCAATAAACATAAATTGTTAACCGCTTATTTTCTAATATGATTGGTTGAGCGCCTGGCGCGAGACTTATAGGTCCTGGCTTCGAATCTCGCGATGATGGGATCGTGGATGCGCACGGCTGAGGAGTCCCATAATGGGACGAAACGGCCATCCAGTGCTTCCAGGTTCTCCATGGTGGTTCAGTTTTAGTCGACTCATGATTTCAACCAGTAAAAGGAAATGGTTTAAACGAAACAGTCCGTTCTAAAACCTTGAAATATATATTTATAACTTTAAATAGATAAGCTTAGACATTCCTAATACCACTTCACTTGAGATGAATTACAGTTCTTAAAAATTTAATTTTTATTTAAGAAATAGCTTCACACAACTCAGT